CAAAAACACCATCACCACCCTGAGAACAGCCAGAAACAGCCGAAATCACCCCAAAAACACCCGAAAACACCCCAAAACAGCCCAAAATCACCCAAAATCACCCCAAAAACACCATCACCACCCTGAGAACAGCCGGAAACAGCCGAAATCACCCAAAAACACACAAAAACACCACAAAACAGCCCAAAAACACCCAAAAACACCACAAAACAGCCCAAAAACACCCGAAAACACCCCAAAAACAACCCAAAACCAGCCCAAAAACAGCCAAAAACACCCCAAAAACACCCAAAAACACCCAAAAACACCCCAAAACAGCCAAAACAGCCAAAACAGCCCAAAAACACCCTCAAAACACCCAAAAACCACTCAGAAATCACCCCAAAATCACCCCAAAACAGCCCAAAACCACCCAAAACCAGCCAGAAACACCCCAAAAACACCCTCAAAACACCAAAGAACACCCGAAAACACCCCAAAAACACCCCGAAAGCACCCAGAAACACCCCAAAACACCCCAAAAACACCCAAAAACACCCGAAAACAGCCCAAAAGCACCATCACCACCCTGAGAACAGCCGGAAACAGCCTCAAAACACCCAAAAACACCCAAAAACACCCAAAACCAGCCCAAAAACACCCCAAATCACCCCAAATCACCCCAAAATCACCCGAAAACACCCCAAAATCACCCAAAAACACCCAAAATCACCCAAAATCACCCAGAATGACCCAAAATCGCCCCGAAATCCGCTCCGGGAATCCCAAAAACCCCCAAAATCAACCCAAAATAACCCAAAATCACCCAAAAGCTTCCGAAATCACCCAAATCACCCCAAAAACAGCCCAAATTCACCCAAAAACACCCCAAAATCCGCTCTGGGAACCCCAAAAATCACCCAAAAACACCCAAATTCACCCCAAAATCACCCAAATGTCCCCCCCACAAAACAAGGATTTTTGGGGACTTTGGGCTGTTTTGGGTGGGATTTTCTGGGAATTCTGGAACGTTCCAGGCGGATTTTTGGGAATTCTGGGATATTTGGGATGGGTTTTTGGGAATTCCGGGGGTTTCGAGCTGATTTTGGGTCGAATTCCCGAGATTTTGGGGCGAATTTTTGGGATTTTGGGTCAATTTTGACATGATTTTCGGGGACTTTGGGCTGTTTTGGGTGGGATTTTCTGGGAATTCTGGAACGTTCCAGGCGGATTTTTGGGAATTCCGGGATATTTGGGATGGGTTTTCGGGAATTCCGGGGGTTTTGAGCTGATTTTGGGTCAAATTCCTGGAATTTTGGGGCAAATATTTGGGATTTTGGGTCAATTTTCGAGCGGATTTTTGGGGACTTTGGGCTGTTTTGGGTGGGATTTTCTGGGAATTCTGGAACGTTCCGGGCGGATTTTTGGGAATTCTGGGATATTTGGGATGGGTTTTTGGGAAT